GAGACTACGCTGGCTGGTGAAGCGGACCGCGATGAGCACGACGGCCCACAGCAAGGCCGGCAGCAGCAGCTGCGGCAGCGCCGAGGCGTCCCACCCGGCCCCGCCCCAGCCGTTCAGGTGCACCTGCAGGGAGACGGGGTTCGTCGCCAGCCACCACAGCTGCTCTCTCGTGAAGGTGAGGTCGTTGGCGTGCCGGTCCGTCGCGGGGTCGCCGGTGTGGTTGTAGCGCGACACGAAGCCGTACGCGTTGGCGCGGTCAAGCGGCATGGCGTACATGTTTGCGGGGAGGCCCCTTGTGCCCTCCGCGACGTCAAAGGCAGCCATGGCTCCTCTGCGGCGACTGCGCTTCCACCGCCTCCCGCCGAGCCTCGCTGCTTTTTTTTTGTTTCTTTCTTTTGTGTATTTGTGAGTTTGTGCGTTTTGCCTCTTTCGTGCTGCTTCAGTTGTCCTGGGGCACAGCGCTTGCCACACGCATGCGCAGGGAGAGATGGAGCGAGAGAAATAAACGGGGAAATATGATGTCACAGTTGTGAGCACGTCTCGCCCGCACCAGCAGCTTTTTGCCGCACGCTGAGGCGTTCCAGAACGGGTTGCGGCCGCCGCAATGGTGGCGGGTCGCGGCGGGGTGGTGGTGGTGCTGGCAGGCGCCAGACAACAGGCCTCAGTGATTTTGCTTGTCCTCGCGCCGCCGCCTGCAACGGAGCCAGGTGGGTGATCCACGGCGGGGCGTCATTAGGGCGCCGGCGTCGTGCTCTTCTCCGTCGGGGCCTCAGAGGGCGGCGGAAATGGCCGCCGCAAGGGCGGCGGGGGAGAAGAGCTTCAGCCACGGCAGAGAGCGCGGCGGGGGGCCCTGCGGCGCGTAGCAGAGCTGCCAGCCGTACACCCAGGCGAAGGCAGAGCCGAGGCGCAGGTAGTCCCCCAGCGTGGCGGCGATGAAGAAGAGCTCCTCGTGGTGGCCCCCGCGCGTGCCCGGGGCCGCGGCCTCCGCGTCGTTGGACTTCTGGTACCGCAGGCGCCCCCAAACCTCGGGGCTGTCGCTGGCAGCCGCCGGGCCACCGGCCGTCTTTGGGCAGGCGTACGCCAGAAGCACCTCGCACGCCTCACCGCCGACGCACGAGCTGTCGCAGTCGCCTGCTTGGTTTGCGGCCCCGTACAGCGCGGCGTAAGGGGCGTACGGCGACAGGAGGAAGAAGCGAGCGGGGTGCGGTGCGGCGCCGCCCGTCCCCCTCTGCACCCCCTCTTCCTCTTCCTCCTCATCCTCATCCTGCGCGGTGGGGGCCCGTTTCGTCGCACGCTGACGACGAAGCATCTCCCTCGCCGCAGCCGCCGCAGCCGCGGGCGGGAGCTCTTCCGTGACCTCCGCGATGGCCTCGATCGCGTTGATGCATATCGTGGTGAGCGGGTGCAGCGGGCGTGGCGTGGCGCTGCCCGGCGGCCTCCCTTCCCCCTCGCACAGCTGCGCGGCGGGGAGTAAACCGCCGAGCACGGAAAACGACTCGGCGGCGCTGCTGACGCCCATGTCGGCCAAGAGCGTGAAGAGCACGGCGGGGAGCGAGGGCTGCGGGGCGGCGCACGGGCGCCTCCGGCGGTGGGCCCACTCCTGCCCCGCACGCCGCAGCGTCGCGATGCTCTTCAGCGTCCCCAGCGTGCCGTGCCGCAGCAACGTCTCCACGCTGCTCGGGGGGAGGAGGTCGGCCAGCGCCCTGCGCTCCACCCCCGCCTCCGCGCGGCGAAGGGCGAGGAAGAGAAGCCCGTGCGCCTTCGTCAGCCGCTGCGCGGAGGCCGCGAAGAGGGCCGCGGCGGACGCCGTGACGGAGAGAGCGACAGTTGCGGGTTTCTGCTTCCCGGCCTTCGCCTGCATCGCGCTCCACCGCCGCTTCTTCCCTGCCGCCGCACCGTGACACTGAGCCGCGGCGACACACACACACACACACACACGCAAAAGGGGTGCAAGTGGCGGGAGAGACGGATAAAAGTGCCAGGAAGGAGGCGGGGGGAGGCGTCTAAGCCCTGCTTTGCCCTCTAGTAGAACACCACGGCCGAACAAAAAGGAAAGGAAAACCACAACGCCAATAATAACAAAAGTAAAACACACCTTCATTTTCATCTTTTTCTTATACAGCGGAGAAGGACCTCAACAGGCTCATTCCACGAGACAATCGCACGCCCAGGGCAAACGCACACTACTCGTAAAGAAAAAGAAAACACACACACACACTGAAAAAATGGGGGAGTGCTGGGCGAGGCGTTTGAACCGCCCCGCGCGCGGAGCGGAGACGGCCGGCTCGAGGGGCTTTGGGTGACGCCGCCAGCGCCCAGCTCTCTGCGCAAACTCTGCAGCGACGCACCGAAGGGCAAATAGTTTTCACTGTTGTTTGTTTGATTGTTTGCTTGTTCGCAGCAAAAAAAAAGCAGAAAAAAAACGCACAAGACAAAATAAAATAAGCACGTGTGGCTCGACCATTGCCTCTCGCAGAGGCCCAGAGCGCCGCTGCGAAGGCAAACGCCCACCCGCCCGCCCGCCTGAGACTCTTCGGGCTGCGATGCCGCGCCACACACATCTGTCGCCCAGCACGCGGCGGCCCCTCAGGCCTTGTAGAAAAACCGCTGCTTCTGCAGTGGGTCACGTGCGACGAACTCCTTCTCAATCAGCGTCTCCAACGCCAACTTGAAGTCGCTGTTTTTTAGCTCAAACTGCGGGTTCTGCTGCTGCGTCGCAAGGAAGAGCTCGTCGTAGAGGCAGTTGCGCACGCGCTTCATGTGCTTGATGATCGCCGCCTTGATGGAGGCGGAGTGGGAGAGGCGCGCCTCCCCCGCGCCTGCGCCGTGCGCCTCTGCAAGGGCCACAACCCGCGGCGGTTGCTGCAGGAAGTGGTAGCGCGTCCGGGGCGAGGTGAAGGCGGCGTTCAAGGCGAGGCACTCCTCCTCGGCGCCCGCCTGCAGCGTGAAGAAGCCGTCACTGAGGAGCCTCCTCACTCCCCGCTGCAGCGCCGGCTTCTCCTTGCCGGTGCGCTGGGCGAGAAGCGTCCAGGTCGCGCCGGCGGCCCCCGCCTCGCCGAGGCAGTGGAAGATGTTAAACAGCTCCAGCGAGCCCACAATGAGCTTCGTCGCCCGCGGGTAGGCGACGGTGAAGCTGACGGTCTCCATGGAGGTGCGCAGCCACACCACGCGCCGCCCGCTGTGCTCTGCGTGGTAGGCGAGCGCAAACGCATGCATCGCGTGCCGCAGCGGCGGCGGGGCGTCCGCCAGCACGGGGTACACGGGCCACGCGCGGCGGGACAGAAGCCACAGCGTGGGCCGCACAACAGCCGGCTCTTCACCGGGCTCCTCCTGCGGCGCCCGCGGGTCGTGCGCCGCCGCTCCCGCCTCCACGTCGAGGCACATCTGAAGCATCTGCCGCACGCTGTCGCGCTCCAGCGGGAGCAGTTTCTGCAGGTGCTCGCACACCGCCCTCTCCGCCTGCAGCTTCTCCCGCCGCGCCTCCGCCGCGCCTCCCCCGCCCTCGCGTGCCCGCCCCACCGCGTAGGAGAGCAGTCGGTAGGCAAGAAGCTCCTTGTACAGCCGCAGGTAGCGATCGGTGGCGGCGACGCATTGTGTGAGTCGCACGGCCGACAGGAACTCATCCTCGTTTTGCAGCGACACCGCCGCCACCGCCCCGCTTTCACGGCCTCCCTGCAGCAGGTACGTCTGCAGGCTGTCGAGAAGCGTGTCGGCAAACACATCCGCGCCCCGGTTCCGCCGCGGGTGCACGAGGGCGTGTTTCACCGCGCCGTAGAAGCAGGCCACGGCGCCGCCGCCGCCGCCCTCGTGCATCCGCGCCCCCAGCGGCGGCGCCTTGCACAGGATGAGGTGGAACACGCGCTCGGTCCGCAGGAGGTAGGCGAGGAGCCGCGGCCCGCGCTGCTCTGCAGGGACGCCGCCGCCGCCGCCGCCGCCGAGGAAGTGCTCCACCGCGGCGGTGAGTCGCGCCTGCAGCAAAGCACGGAGCACCGCCGCCATCGCGACGTGCCCGACCTCCCGCGGGAGTTCGTCCGGCAGCGCAACGCCGGGGCCCGCCTGCTCCCACAGCTGCGGCGTTCCCCGCGGCGGGGCTTCCACGCAGGCCATGGCCTGGGCGACGTCCAGCAGCAGCTTCAGGGGGCCGCGCGCCGCACCCGCCCCGGCGGTGGCGTCGAGCGCAAACAGCTGCTCAACGAGCCGACGCAGCGTCACCCGCAGCAGGTGGACGACGTAGCAGTGCTGCAGGCCAGCTGCGGCGGTGTCGAGGGGCTCGTGCGCGGGGGCGTCGTCGCCGGGCTCCCACAGGAACACGAGTTTGGTGAGGAGGCCCTTCACGCTTGCCTCCTCCACGCCGGGCAGCTCGCGCGTCATCGCGAGCTCGCTGCTCCAATACCGTGGCCAGGCCTTGACGAGGAACGCGTGGCGTGCCTCCGCGTCGGCGTCGGGGCGCAGCAGCGAGAGCAGCGCCTCCCGCGGGAAGAAGCTTCGGCAGCCCCGCACGACACTCTGCAGGACGGTGGTCACGAGCAGCCGCTCCGCACCTCGCGTGGGCTGAAGCTGGAGCTGAAGAAGCTCAGCTATGCTAACAATGGAATTCGTGGGTAGCTGCCGCCGCCGGCGCTGCTGCTGCTGCTGCTGCCGTGGCATCAACTGCATTGCAGGCAGCTGGGCGTTGGCGGCGGGGCGGTCGGGAGGCACCGCAACGACGACGTCACTCCCTGGCACGCCGGCGTTCCACGCACGCCGGCGCTGCAGAACCTCCATCAGCAGACGCCGCAGCACCTGTTGCTTCGTCTGCTCAGCAAGGATATACCTCACCTCCTCGTTTATCACGTCACCGCCGCCTCGCCTCCCAGCTTGCTGGCTGTTCGCCGAAAACAAAAAGGCAACGAGCTTGGGGAGCCGCTGCAGCGCCTCGCGCAACTCGACGGCGTGCTCTATTGCCCGCTCCACCCCTCCCCGCTCACTGCCCTGCGCCTGTGCGCCGCCGCCGTCGTCGTCGTCCATGTGCCGCTGCATCTCGCGAAACTCGTAGGCCACCACGCCCTTCACCCAGTAACGCAGGAAGCCGTCAATGTCATGCACGCCGCCGAGGGTGTGGAGGATGCACCTGTGCCAGCGCAGGTACTTCTCCCGCGCGGCGCAAAGCGAGTCCGCCTCGCTGCACCGCAGCAGCACCTCAAGGTTAAGCGTCACCGTGCAGAGCTCGCGGAGGGACGGGAATGCCTCCAGCAGACTGGAGGCACACGGGATGTGGGGCGAGAGGGCCTGCACGCCGGAGGCGTTGAAGCTGTCGCAGTCCAATGCGGCGTAGGCCTCCCGGAGGCGACTGGCGACAACCCCCTCGCACGGCCGCTCGCCCGCCTCCGCGGCGTCGCCGCAGGCCTCCCCTGGCATTTGCGTGCGTGGCTGCTATCCCTCCCTGCCCTGGCGGAGTTGCTGTGCGCCGCGAAGAGCTCGACCTCCCCCCAGCACCGGCCGCCGCGAACAGGGCGCAAGGCAGGGGAAGAGAGAAACTACTGCTGTGCCGCGGAGTGGGTGAAGGGAGGGAGGGGAGGAAGGTGCCACTTACCCTGCGTCCCCGCCACTGCGAGGGGCGGCAGTCACGTGTCCCCGCCGAGGAAAAACTCGTTATTATTATTTTTGTTTTGTTTGTTTTTCTCGCCGGGCCTGGCTGCCAACACTCGTGGTGGTGGTGGCAGGGGCGGTGGTGCAAGAACGCGGTCGCTGCCACAGCCGGCCGAGGCGGCGAGAGGAAGAGAGAGAGAGGGAGGGAAACATCACAAACAACGAACACACAATCAAAACAAAAACTACAACAACAGAAAATAAATACATAAAAAAAAGGAGGCAACGACGCGCCACGAACGCTACAGCGAGGTGAAGCAGACACCCACACGCATGCGCATTTTCCCCACGGAGGCCAATTCCCCCCAGGCACTGCGGCGGCGCCAGCTGAACTCTCGGCCCCTGCTCCCTCCCCCCTACGTGTCCATCGAGGCCCCCAGGTTGGAGTTCCCCGCGGCGCCGGGGACACCGACACTCGCTGGGGCCAGCGAGACTGCCGCGAGCGGCGTGTCCACGGCAACCGCAGCAACGGCTGGGGAAACCAGCTCCAGGGGCGCCGCGTCTCCACACGACGTCGTTGCAGAGAGGAAGAGGACGCCGCTAGTGCCCGGTGCCGCTGTCGCAACCGACGCCCCAATGGGCGGCATGTGCGGCGTGCCGTCGCTCTCGGCGCCGGCGGAACTCGTTGGGGTCGTCTCTGTACTACGGCCAGACATCGCCGCATCCGCCCCACACGTGAAGTGGCCCGTGCCGCCCGCATCTGGCGTGCAACGTCGCTGGGCCAGTGGCTGCGGCGGCCCGCCGCCTCTCGCTCCCTCGCCGCGGTACCCGCCACCCCCCGCGCAAACGTCGTGGGTTCCAGGCGCACCGTTGCGCGTGGGAGCTGCAGCCGCCGCCTCGTTCTGCTCAACGGCTCGATTTACCTCGCTGCGTGGCCACCGCCCCGCGTCCGCGGCCGCCTCGCTCTCCGGGGTGAGGGGGCGGCTAAAGCTCGCAAAGCTGGCCTCCCCGTGCGGCGATGCGCCCCCCTCGTCGCGCGGCAAATACGGCTGGGGCGTCCCCAAAGGCGTGCGTGGGGTGTCGCCTGTCGGGGAGGGCGAGGCCGGTGTGAGGGCGGGCCGCGGCAGCCGGGGAACGACACCGCCGCACGGGCGCACCACCGCGCCGGTCGCGACGAAGCGGTGCCGCGGCACCAGGGCGGCCTCCTCCTCGTCGCTGCTGCTGGCGCCGCCGCGCGGGTCATGTGCGTTGGCGGGCGCCGCACGCTGCCGTGGCTGCGCCTCCACCGTGGGATCCCGCAAGGACGCCCCGCGTCGCTCCTGCACCAGGCACCGGCGCACGAGGAGGCCCGCCGCAGCCACGGTGAGCAGAAAGAGCACGGCCACCACAACAGAAAGAGCAGACATCCCCGTGTGCCGCTCTTTTTGCTCCTCCCGATGTGTATGTGTGTGCCCTCTGCCTCGGCCGCACACGTGTGCGGCGGGCCCAAGCAGACGGCACGCGAGGAAGGCGGCGAGACACGCGCTCCCCGTGAGGCCAACGGCAGCTGTGCACTAAAGTCAAGCCAGCACCTGCACAGCAACACGCATGCATGTGAGTGTGTGTGTGTTTAGGGAGATGCGACGGGGAGGAGCCACACGCAGACACGCGCGAGTGGAGGCGGAGAGAAGGAAGCAAATGGCCGCGGAGGCTGGAGGGGGGAGGATGGTTCCGAAGCGCCTTGCGTGCGGCGGCCGGGGGCCACGAGCAGCCGCGGCGGCGCTGGAAGGAGTCACAGCAACCTCGTTGAGTCCAAGGTGAAAGAAGGCGCGGAGCCAATTGTGTTCGGTGAAAACGAAGGAACAGGTAACCAACCAACACGTAAACAAAAACGGTGAAAAGCAAGGAAGAAAAAAATAAAGGTGTAGTGCTTGACGCAAGGTATCCGACGCGTGAGTATTTTTTTTGTTATTATTCCTACGTGTATTTGTCTCACATTCCTCGGTTTTCTTTATTTTCGTTTTTTTTTTTGTCGTTGCATTAATTTGCGTCTATGCCTTTCGTTTTGCCTCCGTCTACGCGCCTCTCCCTCCCACCCCCACCCCCGCGCCTCGGCAAGCGCCACACGCGACGAATGTGCCTGCGGTGCGGCTGTACACGTGGGCGGTGCGTGGACGATGCCACACGCCTGGCGCGGCAGGAGAAGAGGGGGGGGGGAGGGAGAGGCGCGGGCCGCGCGTCAGTCCGGGGCCCGCCCGGGGCACTCGAAGCTCGGCCCGCCCTTGCGCTTGAGGAGGGGGGTGAGGAGCCACTCCAGCGTGGAGGTGTCGCGCTGCCGCTGCCGCCGCCGCAGCAGTTCCGCGTAGTCGTCGCCGGCGTCCGCCACGTAGACGACGGCCTCGTTCGCGGGGTTCAGCAGGTACGGCAGCCCCCTCCCGTAGAGCTCCTCCGCGTCCGCCAGGGCGTCCTCCTCCCGCATCTCCTCCTCCTCCGCCTCCTCCTCCTGCAGGTGCTGCAGCTGCTCCAGCAGGGTTCCCACCGGCTCGCTGCTGCTGCTGCGCCGCCCCCTGGCGCCGGCCCGCCTCGAGGCCGCCTCCACCAGCAGCTGCAGCAGGCTGGGCCCCGGCTCCGCCTCCGGGGGCGGCGTGGGCTCCTCCCGCAGCATGGCGACGATCTCCGAGACCGTGGCGCGCGTGCCGTCCCGCATCTCCAGCAGGGCGTCGCCGCAGTAGCTGCCGCGGTAGGAGCGCAGCCGCCGGTCCGCCAGCACCTCCGTGCCCTGCGCCTCGGAGACGAGGACGGTGCCGTAGGACGCCTCCCCGCCCTCCACTAGCTGATCGATGGCCTGCCGCATCAGCTGCCGGCGGGAGCGGGCGCGGTCGTTGTCCCGCATCGCCGCCTCCGCAATCTGCCGCTGCCGCCCCTCAATGACGCCATTTAACACCAACATCTGCCGCTGGCGCACCACAAGCGTGCACAAGAAAAAGACTACAATGCCAAAGATGAGGACGCATAGCACCACTACGGCGGCCCCCAGGCCACTGAAATCCATCGCGGACGTGTGCTGCGCGCGTCCCCCTAGTTCTCCAGCCTGCCTACCCCACAGTCCGCACACGCGTGTGTGCGGCCTCACTTATGCAGAGCTTTTCCACAACCCCCCGCCCCTCCCCGCGCGCGATTGCCCTTCCGACAGCGCCGCGGCCCGATCCTGCCAAGTACGTATGTCTATTGCTTATACGTACACCGATTCCCCCTCTACGGCGGTGGGCGCAAGTGGACGTCTAGGTGTATATGCTCCTTCTTTATCTGATGCGCTCCCACGGCGTCTCCCACGACCCTCCCTCCAGCGCGCGCACACAAACACGCAGGGCAGAGCAGAGAGCGAAGCAGGGAAAAAACAACAGCTGAGGGGGTGGGAAGGCGCACACGAGCCACGGTGCGTGGATGTGCGTCACGCAGGCAGCTGTGACGTGAGAGGAAGGGCGGGAGAGGACCAGCGACACACACACACACACACACACAAAATGGGAGAGTGAGGGACGGAAAACAAAGCCGGCGAAATATTACAAACAAGGCAAGAGGGGCCGCCAGAATGACAAGGCAGCGCCGCAGGGAGAGGCAAACGATGTGCACGCCGATACCCCCGCCCCCCCGCCCTCTACGTCGCAGAGACGCGCGCCGCACATTCCACGCATGTCCACACAACGGCGGCTCCGCACATACATGCCTCGAGACATACCGACCGGGCTCCCAGCACCACTACGCAGGGAGGAAAACTACACAAGGCTCCCACTGCACGCAGCGAGTACGAAGAGGTACAGGAAAAGAACCCCCCCAACAAAAAAAAACGAACAGGAAAACATATACAATATCGCTTGCTTCAGAATGTGCATGGAAGGCCACCCGCCGCGGTGCCGACGCGCGTGCAACAGAATAAGGAAGGGACGGAGTGGAGTTCATCTTAGACAATGTGAACATATAGAAAGAGAGGCTGCATGAGATATCATAAACAAAAAAAACGGAAAGCAGATATAAAAGGAGAGAGTGGATGCACAGCTTGACGGCCGCGGTGCCGTGGCATTCTCCACCCTCCCCTCCCCCCACTCCTATTGCGCCGCGTAGGCGTGCCTGCGCACAAACACAGCCAGACACAGACGGAGGCAAACGAAAGGCAGCAGCATAACGCCCTCGTCGCCGCCCGCACCCGCAGGAGTGGAGGGCAGCATACACACACACACACACACACGGCATCAGAGGCCCACACTGTAAACATAAAAAGAGAGGTGAGGGGGTGGATGGAAGGACCCCTGCTGCGGAGAGGGACAAACAAAAAAAGCACCAACAACAACAGCGACACGCACGCACGCACACACACAAC